ATAACATCACACGTGGTTTTAAGTCATATTTTTACTTTGTTCCTCAAAGTCTTAATCAGCAAATAAAACTCAATTCTAATGTTTCACTTGAATATTTCCTCAAAAATCTAAATTTCTCAAATCTCGGTTGAAGTAAAACACAGATAGTAAATGTTATTATAAGAAGACATTCACGTTTAAAGAAGTCGATCTGCTGAACTCTGTTTTTATCTAAAGAAAAATAATATTTCAGTTAAAAACTAAAAAAATAAATTCACCACAAACTGAAACAGTCGTTTTGCCTCAGACCCTGAACACATCGTCACACTTTATTAATAATAATAATATTTAGTGTTTCAGGAAACAAACACTCGTCTCGTTCAGAGTCTCAACAATCAGATGAATCCTCGCTGGACGTCCCCAGCTCGCCCTCCCATTGGTCGACCTCTCAGGGGTCGGTCGTGATAACGGTGGGCGGAGATGGGGTCGAAGCGGGGGCGGGGCAGGAGGCCGTGGGGCAGGAGGCCGTGGGGCAGGTTTGGTCTCTGGTCATAATCTCCTCCGATGATGCCGGGCAGCGGAGGCGTTAGGGGGTGGGGCACAAACCTGAAGATGTCTCGGGGGTTCCGGTGGAAGGGGGGGAGGATGCGGCGGCGAGCGGCGCGTCTTTGTTCACGGAGTTGATGGAACTTTTTATAAAGCTGCAGAAAAAAACATGAAAATCTAAAGTTAAATCTGAAGATTCCAACGTTTGGAAGAAAAATGTTTTTAAGTTTCTGCATCACTTCAAATGATCCCATGAAGATAAGTCAAACTTTATTGGAGCTGACTAATGATTTCAACCTCACCTCTCTCCAGTCTGTGTCTCTGCTGGAAGCTGGTTCTGAACCAAACACAGAAACTCAGATTATTAACGACACTGAATCATATTTTCTTTCATCACATCTCGTGAACTCACCTGGGAACTCTCGGCGGTACAGGTGTCTCCACAGAGTCGCGTCACACGTGACCACGTTCAAATGTTTGCAGACGGACGACAGTCTCACCACGGAGCGGACGTCCAGCAGCCGCAGGACTCGCAGCAGGAGCTCCGGAGGAAGAGCCGCCAGACCGAACGCCACCGGCAGAGCCATCGCTGGAAACAGGATCACGGTAAAATGATCTGAAGTTTTTAAGCGATAATACGATAAAACTGAACCTGTGACCTGCTCTCGTCGTCTCTACCTTCTCTGGCGGCGGCGATCAGCGGGTACGCCAGCTGGTCTTTGAACAGTCGAGACAGTTTGCTCAGGTTTGTGAACGCTGCCGCTGCGCTCTCTCCTGGAAGACAACGGCAGAGAGGTTAACGCTGAGGTCAGCCACCGACGCTCCGGCGTGAAGAGTCAAACGGACCAATCAGAGCTCTACCTGGCCACTCGTCCGTCACGTAGCTGCTCGGGTTCAAACACAGTTTGCGAATCGTGTCGACCGAGTCGTTGACCTTCAGAGTGGCTGAGACAGAAGAAGAAGAAACACGTCAGTGAACGTCATCAAAACATTTTCATTCTTTTTTTCACCAAGAAAAACTTTATAACAACTTTTAGAAGTTTAATGTTTTTACTTGGAATTTATTCTTTTGTTTTTCTTATGTGAGCGTTTGGAATAAACTGAAGTTGCAGAGAAACTTAATGAAAATAAAGAACAAATTAGAAAAACTTTGAGCTTTGATGTCGTGTTTGAACTCACCGTTGATGACGAGCACGGGGCCCATGACCACACCCACCACCACGGCCAGGCTGTTCTCACACAGAGGGTGTGTGTATGGAAGTTTGTAGAGTCCGCCGGTCGACCTCCAGCCGCCGGGCATCTCACCGGGCTTCAGCTCGGACGCCTCGACACGGAGAGAAAAACACCGAAACATTTTGATTTATCACAGAAAAACATTGAAACATAAAAACTGCTCAGTCTGAACCATGTGATTCAATCTGGAACTTTTTAAAGTTCATAGAAATAAGAGACAGAGAGCATCGACTCACCTGAGGGACGAACCCGGTCTCCAGCATCAGGAGGTTTCCTGCCACCATGACGGCTTCGCTGGGGCTGGAGACGTGGGCGCTGTGGTGGAGCAGCTCCAGAGACAGAGGAGCCTGACCCTCCTCCGCCTCGCTGCACAGCATCGGCTCCCAGCTGCAGGCCGGAGCTTCAGGCTCCGGGTCCTCAGGCTCCGGGTCCTCAGGGTCCGGGTCCTCAGGGGACTCCGTCAGTGCTGCACAGCTGCTGCTGGACTTTAACATCAAACAAAAGCACCAGGATCAAACATTTAACAATGAGGTGCTGAGACATCTGGATCGCCCCCTGGTGGCTGGCTGCTCTACAGAGTTTCCTCTCTTCTGCTCCAGGTTTAATCAACAACTTCTACAAGTTGTGTCCAACATGTATCAGGCAGATTATTGATGACATGAACATCTTGTGATTAAAGTCATTCTAACAAGCAACTGCTGAGATTCAGATCACATCAGAAATCACTCACCTGACTCGATGTGGCAGCGGCGGCGGCCATCGGCTGAGTCCGGCTCTCTGCTCGGCTGCTGGTTGTGTTGGTGGAGTTGGTGGAGCTGGTGGAGCTGGTGGAGCTGGTGGAGGGGTGTGAGGGGGGCGAGGCGGCAGTGGCCGCAGACTCGGGTAGAAGGACGCAGATCAGATCTCCAGAGACGATGCCGCAGGACGACAGAGTCTGGCCGGTGTCTGACAGAAGCTCTGAGCTGTTCAGAGACAAACTGAACTCCGTGTCTGGACTGAGACAGAAACACAAGACACTTATCTACACCGTCACCCGGCTGCATCCAACCAAGTTCATGAAGACGATGCTGATGTCCAACCTGAGTCCATGAGACGTCAGCACCGTCTCCCTGATGTGATCCCTGAGCTCCGTCACCGTCGGTTCTTCTCCCAGAAGCTCCACCCGGCTCGTCTGTCTGATGACCCGGATCCGCAGCTTCATACTGAGGACGACAAAAAGACGTCAAGTCACCAAACACAGAAGGAATTCATCCTCCCTAAAGTATCTGAACAGGGGGATTGTGGGAAATAAATGGAGTTTAACAAACCATCTTCACGTACAATTGAGTTTAATAATACTGATGATACACATTCTGTGTTTTAATTCACAGTAAAACTTCGTCCAGATGCAAAGACATCGAAGCACAAACCAGCTGAATCCTGTGTCATGGTTATTAAACAGGATGAAAACAGGTCGAACAAACTTAATAAAACAGACAAATCTGTGAATTTTTCTGGATTTGTCATGAAAATAACGAGTTTCAGAACAAACATCATTTTCCAACTGAACCAGAATCAAATGAAAAGTTCATCTGAACCAAAGCTCGTCAGGAATTCACCATGTTTGGTTTTTTGTTGAGTCATCGTTGTCATGTTTTCCTCTGAATGAACTTCAGCTTCGAACAACTGAGTTCTGATTAAACACGTTAATAAACATCTGATGCAGGAAACTTTAATTTCCCGTTAATTAACATTGAAATGAAGATTAAACTCAGAGGAACTCAACACACGAGAAAATCTACACACGAGAAAATCTACACACGAGAAAATCTACACACGAGAAAATCTACACACGAGTCTAACGAAGAGAAATGAACTCAGCAGAACAATAATAATAATAATGATGATGATGATGATGATGATGATGATGATGAATACTGTAGATGTGATGAAGGAGAATAAAACGTTCGCATGTTTC